GGGAGTTCAGTAGCTGTCTAGAAAATGGTTCTTTCCCTGTAGATCCCAGGGAGAATGTGTTTCACAGAGCCTGTGGCTTGATTGTGTGCCTTTGCATCTGCCACAGTGAAGAGCCTGGCTTAGGCAATGTGGCAGGCCTCCACTGATTCATGTTCCTTATCCCAGAGTCTCTGGACTAATGACAGTACAGAGATCTAGAAATCAAAGCAAGGATTAAAAAAAATTACAGACAACTGTGCTATTAGGTAACTAGGGAAAGCATATTTAAATGTTCACAACTATTCTTGCCCAATTTATATTGTTTGTTTTTTTCCCAGTAGTAGGGATTGAACTCAGCAACTGCTCTTACCAATTGAGCCATGCCCCTAGTCCAGTTTTATGTGTTTGGAACAAAATAGCAAAGTTCCTCCCCTGGTGATACATTATTACTCACTGACCACTTGCAATTCAAAAGCTATAAAAGCTGTATACCCTGGGGACCCTTGGCTCCTCTGCCCAGGTTCACTCCTTTTCCTTTGATGTCTGTAGTGCCTCTATGAATGTGAGGTCGGTTACAGATTTGCCTTCCTGTCCTTTGTAGTAAACTGGATTGATTGGCTATTGTGAATGATTGGATGTTTTGAGTTTTTTTTTTTTTTTGTAAAGTTTATTTATCTATACCTTCCTCCTATACTTGATTATGACAGTTTGAATATAAAAATGTTGTGGCTTAAGATTACATTAGCAGCCAGGTGCTGGTAGCTCAGGCCTGTAATCTTAGCTACTCAGGAGGCTGAGATCTGAGGATCACGGTTCAGAGCCAGCCCAGGTAGGAAAATCAGTGAGACTCTTATCTCCAATTAGCCAGCAGAAAACCAGAAGTGGAGCTGTGGCTCAAGTGGTAGAGCATTCTCCTTGAGCTGAAGAGCTCAGAGACCGGGCCCAGGCCCAGAGTTCAAGCCCCAGGACCAAAAAAAATAAAAAATAAAAAATTACATTAGCAAAGTAAGATCAGGTCAGTTGGAGAAAGCTAGCTTTTTACTAGTGTTTGTAGCAGGGGGTAAAATTGACCTAATACCAGAGACCTGGGGGATTTACTTTAAACCAATTTTTTTCTTTTAATAAAGGTTAAAAAAATATGTCAAAGGAAGTTCTACAAATAGAATTTAAATGGAAGGTAGTATCGAATAATTATGGCTTATATCCCATCAGCTTTACTTAAAAATAATGGATAGGTTTATGCTTTTTAATCTGTAATAGTCTGGAAATTAAATCATTTATGATGCTTTCACACTGATAATGAGAAGTTTTAGAATTTGCAGTAACTTAGGTTCAATTTTTTGCTGGGTGCTGGTGGCTCACGCCTGTAATCCTAGCTACTTAGGAGGCTGAGATCTGAGGATCGTGGTTCAAAGCCAGCCCGGGCAGGAAAATCCAAGAAACTTTTATCTCCAATAAAACACTGTGAAAACCGGAAGTGGCACTGAGGCTCAAGCGGTAGAGCACTCACCTTGAGCTGAAGAGCTGAGGGACAGTGCCCAAGCCCAGAGTTCAAGCCCCACGACCGACAAAAAAAACAAACAAACAATTTTTTTATTATTTATTTATTTATTTTTTGGGTCCAGTTGTGGGGCCTGAACTCTGGGCCTGGGCACTGTCCCTCAGCTCTTCAGCTCAAGGCTAGCGCTCTACCACTTGAGCCACAGCGCCACTTCCGGCTTTTTTCTTTTTTTTGCTTATATGGTGCTGAGGAATCGAACCCAGGGCCTCAGGCATGCAAGGCAAGCGCTCTACCACTGAGCCACCTTCCCAGCCCCACAAAACAATTTTTTAAGACCTGATCTTTATACTATTGTGGCCCTACCACTGGAAGACTGGGTGCTAGGCCATACTTAATCTTTTATCATTTTATTTATTTATTTTGGGGTCCGGTCATGGGGCCTGAACTCTGGGCCTGCGCACTGTCCCTCAGCTCTTCAGCTTAAGGCTAGCGCTTTACCACTTGAGCCACAACGCCACTTCTGGCTTTTTTCTTTTTGCTTATGTGGTGCTGAGGAATTGAACCTAGGGGCCTCAGGCATGCAAGGCAAGTGCTCTACCACTGAGCCAACTTCCCAGCCCATCTTTTATCATTTTAAACCCTTGCTTTAGCCTGGGACCCTAGTGGCTCACACCTGTAATCCTAGCTATACCGGAGGCTGATAACTGAGGATTATGGGTTTGAAGCCAAGTCTGGCAGGAAAGTCTGTGAGACTCTTATCTCCAGTTAATTACCAAAAAGCCACAAGTGGAGCTGTGGCTCAAATGGTAGTATGCTAGCCTTAACCAAAAAAGCTCAGGGACCGTGCACAGGCTCCCAGCAAAAATACATTTAAAATGATCCTAAAGATCTGTAATATACACGTGTGTTAGTTATTAGAGACCTGAGGCCGTGTTTGTTGGAGCTGGAGATGTAGCTAAGCAGTAGAGCATATGATTATTTATACATTCAAGACCCTGGGTTTGATCCCCAGAACTGGGGGTTGAGGCTTTTGCCATATTTCTTTTTTTTTGGGGGGGGGGGGTCTGGTCGTGGGGCCTGAACTCTGGGCCTGGGCGCTGTCCCTCAGCTCTTCAGCTCAAGGCCAACACTCTACCACTTAAGCCACAGTGCCACTTCCGGCTTTTTTCTTTATGTGGTGCTGAGGAATCGAACCCAGGGCCTCATGCATGCAAGGCAAGCGCTCTACCACTGAGCCACCTTCCCAGCCCTGCCATATTTCTTGATTGATCACTGTATATGGAAAACTGGGGCCAGAAGCCACATTTGAAGTTTTTGTTTTAGTCCTGAGATATAAGGGCAACAAGTTGTCTATTTCATTGTTTCTTACTCCCTCATTACTTTGGAAGTAGATCCTTGTTGGAGTTCTTGTTAGGTGGGATGAAGATGTGGTTCCCTTTTTAAGTTGTAGAAATAATCATTTCTGCAGTCCATTCTATCTTTTGATAAAAGAGTATTGCAGGCCAGCTCCAGCACAAATAAGAACCAGCAATATCCTTATTCTCCTGTTTGGAATTTATGAGCCCAAAGGGTGTCTGTGCTGCCAGGAGAGAATGAAGGGCTGTCCTTTCTTTCATACTTGTAGCTGACCTTTGGTGTTCTGAGTGAGCCGTCCCTGGTAATGACCTTGAATGTTGGAGAGTGGAAAACTGGAAGGGGAATCCAGTTTTTTTTTTGTCCCTTATCATCTTCCTCCTGCCACACCACCATTTTTTTCCTCCCCAGCTTAATAGAAATCTTATTTCAAACTGGGCACTGGTGGCTCATACCTGTAATCCTAGCTACTCAGAAAGCTGAGGAGCTGAGGATCTCTGTTCAAAGCCAGCCCGGGCAGGAAAGCCCGAGAAACTCTTATCCTCAGTAAACCACCAGAAAACTGGAAGTGGCGCTGTGGCTTAGGTGATAGAGTGCTAGCCTTGAGCTCAAGAGCTGAGGGACCTCCCAGGCCCAGAGTTCAAGCCCCACGACCTACCAAAAAAAAAACTTACTTCAAACTCCTTAATAATACAAAGTGTTATGTTCTCAGTATAGTCTATAGGAATTGTGTCTCTCATGCTGGGTAATTAAGAAATAATAATATTGCTCTCTGAATGTCAATAAGAATCTGTCTCATCTTGTCTGGAACCTAATTGAACAGATACAGGCTCAGACAAGTCTTTCAGTCCACTGTTCATACCACAAGAGTAGTTTATTATACACAAGCATATCCTTTTTTCTTCTAAGCTTTTGTGTTGTTTTTTCTTCATTTCATTTTTGTTGTTGTTATTTTGAGATAGGGCATCTTATATAGGCCAAACTGGCCTTCGGTGTGCTATCTTTCTAGATCTATCTATCTGTCTGTCTGTCTTTTTTTTTTTTTTTGCCAGTCCTGGGGGCTTGAACTCAGGGCCTAGGCACTGTCCCTGAGCTGCTTTTGTTCAAGGCTAGCTAGCACTCTACCACTTGAGCCACAGTGCCACTTCAGCTTTTTCTGTTTATGTGATACTAAGGAATCAAACCCAGGAGCTTCATGCATGCTAAACAACATTCTACCACTAAGTCATGTTCCCAGCCTCTATCTATCTATCTATCTATCTATCTATCTATCTATCTATCTATCTATCTATCTATCTATCTATCTATCTATTGTCTTTCTATTTGGTGACGCTAAGATTTGAACTCAGAGCCTTACATTTGCTAATAAGCACCCATTCTACAACTTGAGCCACAGCTGTAGCTCTGAAAAAGTAAATTTGTACTACAAAAGGATCATTTGGTTTTAAAATGGAACTTGAGTCCCTCTAGTGGGTAGGATGTGATTTACCTTCCAGCCCTGAGATAGAAGGGTGGTGGAGTTTCCTGGCCCAAGCTTTCCCACGCAGTGCTCAGTGCTGGTGTCCCAGAGCCCAGTTGAGAGACGGTGTCAGCCAGCCCAGGGCTTGGCCTGACCCAGCCAGGGAGGTGGAGACTGCAGCCCTGCTTTTCCACCCATGTTGTATTAGTATCCCTATTCATTCTTAGCATGTAATCACACAAGCTGCTGTAGGTCAAGCCCCAGCAAGTTGGGGATTTTACACTGTGCAGGTTTGTTTGTTTCATTTTGTTTTTAAATGGAAAAGGACATAGCAATCCAGGTGCTTGAGTTGAAGGACAGGCCTGCTTCAGCACAGCAGACATGGAAGTCTATTTAGCCTTTAGAAGAGGTTGGTGCTGCTAGCCAGGTGGTGTGGTTGGAAAGAAATTGGGTTTGGGGTTGATGCCCACCTGGGCCATTACTAGTTGTGTCACCTGAGCTATGATGGTGCAGTCTGTCTGTGTCAGTATTTCCTTTTATAAAGTGGGAAGATGGCAAAATCTTGCAGAGCTGTTCTGAGTCCTGAAAATAGCATGTACAAAGGCTTCATGATTGGGAGCTGAAGTTGTAGAGCTTTCCTCTCTCCTTGAGTCAGTTACAGTGCATGGGATTTCAATATTTACTCTGTTCCTTCTTTTTTCCTTTCAGTCACCACCAAGTAAACGAAGAAAGTTAGAAAAACCAAGGAAACCCATTACGTTTGTAGTGTTGGAGTCTATGATGAAAGAATTAGCCCTGAAAGCATCCTCTTTGGGCTCTGAAACAGTGGAGGGCATCGTGGTTGTGACTACCTGGATAGAGAAGATTCTCACTGACCTGAAGGTATGTGCAGGCACATGATGATGTGCTCCTAACCTCTCCTTTTAAAAGGAGTTTGACAAGAAGGGACAGGTGCTTTCCTATAAAATCCTGTTTGTTTCTACTTAGGTCCAGCACAAACGAGTTCCCTGTGGAAATGAGGAAGTGAGCCTTTTCCTGACAGCCATAGAAAACTCATGGATTCATTTAAGGAGAAGGAAAAGAGAGCGAGTGAGACAGCTAAGGGAGGTTCCTCGAGCCCCTGAGGACGTCATTCAAGCCTTGGAAGAGAAAAAGTCCACCCCTAGAGGCTCAGGCAGCAGCCAGGATATGGCCCAGGCCTCCCGGGAGAGTGCCCTTTGTGGGTCTGCTCTGCCTGAAGGCGAATCTGCCACTGTGGATGGCCACTGCCCAAGTCAGGAGTCACTGTCCCAAGAGGAAATCCCAGAAGCCATGGAGGATGAAAGGAGTGAGGAAAGGGGAGGGATGGCCATTGTGGAAAGCTGCATGGGCTCCAGCAATGGAGCCCAGGACCAAGAGGCTTCTGAGCAGTTGGGAAGCACCGTGGTTGAGAAGGCAAAGCACCTCCAAGGAACAGCTGGACCGTACCTGTTCAAGTGTTTGATCAAAGTTAAGAAGGAAGTGGATGACACACTAGTTGAAATGCATTGGGTTGCGGGCCAGAACAGAGATTTGATGAACCAGCTCTGTACCTATATTCGTAACCAAATTTTCAGGCTTGTTGCCAGTTAACTCTCAAATTCTTGCACAGTTAGAGGTGTCTATGGGACTGGGAGTGTAACTGAGTGGCAGAGTGTATTCTTAGCATGCAGGAGGCCCTAAGTTCAATCTTCAGCACAGAGAGAGAGACAGAGAGAGAGAGAGAGGAAAGATTTATAAAACAGCCTACTTTGGAGGAACCTGTTGGGTAGCACTATGATAGCATTTTAAAAAGCAGAAACCAGTCCATCCATTTTAACCCCCTCCCAACTTCTTAAGTCATGGGTTTTATAACTTTTGGGGAGAACTGTGATTGTCAACAGCAAAAGGCTGTCAGTAAACTCAGAAGGGATGTCAAGCTCAGTCAGGCTGGTCACCTCAGCTTTGGACTAGTTCTTTTTGAGGCCAGAAGGACTGTTTATGTCATCTAGTCTGGCCAGTGGTCAACATTACCGAGAATGCAAGGAGAGTTGGAATACTCATCCTAGACTGGAGGCAGTCCAGTGGGACTGAGGCCCAGGCCTTCTCTAGTGTCACCTTCAAGACTGAAGCTGGGTTAATATGACTGGTTAGTACTGTCCAGACCCCCAGAGAGGAGCTGGTCCCATAGTAGGTTGCAGGAGAGTCAGGAAGAGAGGCATTAGTTAGGCCAGGCAGAAGGACCCATCTGGGAATGCCTAAGAAACGGTGCACTCCTGGCTTGATGCTGCTTGGATGTTGCCCAGTTCAGACGCAGAATTAGGTAAGCAACATTCCGATACATGACTGAGACTTACCAGTGCTCCTTTCCCCATCTCCACCCTGGTGAAAGTACCAGATGTGGCAGTTGTATTGCTTTGTGATTTTTGTTTCAACCTGTGAAGTGGAGCTTGTTTTGTTTTTAATATATGAACATTCATAATCGAAAACTGTCAATCCTGTTTGGGTCTTGGGGTTAGGGAAAATATTTTCTTGCCTTTGAGTGGGTAAATGGTTGATGATAGAAATGAGAAAGGGAACAAAGTCTGAAGCTCCGTGGTTGAATACTCACCGTGTGCATGTGAAGTCCTGGGCTCAGTTGCCAGCACTGCATGATTCTCTTACAGGTGTGAGCCCCCACACCTGGCTTCCTCCTGCAATTATTTCTGAAAGCCCCTTGAACATATGTCTGTTCACAACCTCCTCTAGGGAGGAGTGGGAGAAGTTAGACCCATGACAAGGGAGTGGGATCAATAATCCATTTCAAATAACCATTATTCAATTCCAGCCATTCAACAGGATGCAGAAACCCATCAGGGGTCCATAGAGTCAATATTCAGCCCAGAGCCTTGGGTTCCTCCCAGGGCCTTAAATTCCTGCCTCTAGTAATGTTTGGCTCTGCCACACTTATTCCCTTTCCATGTTTGGGTTGTATATGGGGCCCAGACCTACCTTTTTTTTAAATGACATTTTAGGATCTTTGAGTTATATGGCAACCATCAGTAAGTAGTCAATAAGTGTTTATTGTTTTGTTTATTGTTATTAAAGAGTATCATAAGCTCAAAGATTTAGAATAAATGCACTGGAGATGTGTGTCAGTGATAGATGGCTTGACTAGCATGCATGCAGCCCTGGGTCCAATGCCAGCCCTGGGGGAAATGACTCCTGGTCTGGCCTTCTCTAGCACAACCACTGTGGGTCAGTGATCTAGAGAAGACAGGCGGTGCCAACTGACCATACTTCCACTGTCTATTTGGTTTCATACTGTACATCTTCCTTTAGTAAGTGCTTTTTTGTATGTTACAACAGTAGTATTGTATTTACACTGCTTGCCTGATGAGAAGGTCCTCAGGCAGAGAATCAGGCTTCTTGCCTATTTGTAGGGATTTTCAGAGAACAGTGTATGTGGCTAGAAACTCAAGAAATTGTGTCTAGGTCTTTATATGATCCAGGCTGGAGGCATGTTGTGGAAGTTTGTGCAGGAGTTGAGGTAATGATCCTAGAATTAAAAAAGAAATGTGACAAGGTTGATGTCCAGAGTCTGGAAAACTAGAGCTATGAATGCCTTCTTCACCTTTGGATGTCATTTCCTTTCTCTGAGGAGAAAAGTTTATTTCTCAAACTGTCTAATGAGAGACACTGAGAACATTAAAGAGATTGTTTGCATTCTGCATGGCTTTCTAGTCATGAGATGTTTGTGAAGGCATATTCCTTCAATGCAGGGAAAGAAACCATTTAAACAAATAGGTTACCAACTCACATGTTCAGTGTTGGATGACAGTCTCCCTAAGTGTCTGAGGTCAGCTTCATGTTGGTCTTGGTAGATTGGTATGAAATTAAATCTTGGTGGAATTATCTTAAATTCTATTCTAGTCCCTGGCATTGGCTTCTGATGTCTTGATAGCTAAAATGGGAACAGAGGCTGAGCTTGTTTACCAGGGAACTAAAGCTGCTTTTGTTCTTTGGGATCTGCTTTGGTTTTATCAGTTTGGTTCCTTCACCCCACATCCTTGCCCACTGTTCCCACTGTAGAGCTTTGCTGCCCGTCCTGGCGTGTCTGGTTGTTTTGTGAAGGAGTTTGAGCTAATCTTAAGGGTTCATATTGATTGCTTTAGTATATGTTTTTTGCACACATAAAACCTCTCTTTTCTTGATGGAAATCAAAGCTTACCACGTGAGTACACCAGCTTCAAGCCTCTGACAAAAATATTAAAGATGCAAGGTGTAGAAGAAATGAAAAAGCCTGTGGAATGTCTGAGGTCTTTTGAGAAAGGGAATTAATGAATACTTGACTGGTTGTTGGAGCCTCTTATTTGGCCAGCAGCACTTCCTTCTGCCGCCACATAGGGGCACCCTCAGTCCTCTTATCAAACGCCTTAACTTCACTGTGGAAATGGATAAAATTGTGTCCATGGAATTTTCTTGAAATACCTAGTTGCTACCCAGATAAGTATTTTTATGTAAACAAATACAATTTTACATTAAAATTTTTGAAAAATAAAAGAAAAAAACCTCTATCTATGGTCTTTTTATCTGACATAATCCCTGTTAAACTTTAAAAAAAAAATAGTCTCTGTTGAGTATTTTTCTTTCTTTCTTTCTTTCTTTTTTTTTTTTTTTTTCATCTGTGGTTCTTCTTTAGAATATACTCAGGTTGGGCCAGTGTTTTAGAGCAAGTTTTTCTTGGTATCTAGTTAATGGGGTTGTTCTAGGGGAGGACATTTACTGACCTTAAAGCAATTAACTTCTAAAGCTTTCTATTCCAGGACAGGTAATACAGACAGCTTTGAAGTAAGAGTTTTCAGGGTCCTTTTGTTGATTCTTGCTTTTTCTAGTTGGCAGATGGGTATACCTGTAAATAGAGTAGGGGAGGCTGAGGGTTTTCGGTAGTGCTAGACATTGAACCCAAGCCCTTGCACATGCTAGGTGAGCATCTCCCATTGAGGTACATCCTCAGCCTGGGTCTGTGTTTATATGAAAAGTCAGTGAGTTCTGTGCTGCATATATTATATAGGTGCTGTTAGCTGGGGCTTATTTGTTACGGTGCATGAGTAAGAGTAGAATATGAATATTACCCTGGGGTATAGGTACCAAGGAGAAATTTCATGTGTGTTTTTTTTTTGTTGGTTGTTTTGTATTTTCACTATTTCTAGGGCTTGAACTCAGGGCCTGTGTGCTGCCCCTGAACTTTTTTTCTCAATGTAATTTCTCTACCATTTGGGCAACAGCTCCATTTTTGTCTTTTTGGTGGTTACCTGGGGGTAAAATTATCACAGCCTTTCTTGTCCAGGCTGGCGTTGAACTGCGATCATCAGATCTCAGCCTCTGAATAGCTAGGATTATAAGCATGAGCCAGTGGCACCCTGTATTTTATGAAAGTCTCAGGGTTTGTGGTGCCCCCCCTCCCCCGCCAGATCCACCTGTTAGGAAGAGAAAATCCAGTTTGAGAACCTTGAATCAGAGCTCTCTGGAAGAAGGGATGTGTCAAAGGTGTCATCCAGGGGAGTGCCATGAGGTAAAGGATGTGACCACATTCTTTTAGGGAGGTTGGATTGCTGAATGGGCAGTGGCCACAGTAAAACCTTATCCGAATAACCAATACAATGGATCTGCTTTTGCCTCCCAGAGCAGGGCATAAGTGGTTTTATGCTTCCTAATTATCCCAAATCCATACCCTGTGTGAGTGCCAGCCCAGCACTGGAGCAGGCAGCATGGGGTGCCCGTCAGCCACACACACACACACACACACACGCCAGAGCTCCTGCTTCGCTCTGGAAAGATATTGAGATTCTTTGCTGTGACTCACCCAAATGACTAAAACAGCAGTTTATTTCTTTAATTGCTAGTTGGGACAGCTAATGCTGCCTTTTGGAGGCTGTGCTTTTACTCTGGGAAACTATGTTGTGACTGAGTGAAGACCTTGTATGTGCTTCCAAATGTCCTTTGCCATGCAGCCTGTCTGCCTGTCTTTCCAGGCAGGAATATGGGGGCCTGTGGGCTCTTCTTAGAGAGGAAAAGAACCATAGGTGCTCTGCGTGAGAAATGAAGACGAAACAGAAAGGACTTTGAGCAGATACATATAATTCCAAAATACATTTCTAGAAATAGAGGCACGGCTCAAGTGGTAGAGCACCAGCCTGGAGTTAAAAAGCCAAGCACACAGTACCTCTGAACCAGACCCTCCCTGTGGGAAAGAAAGCAGGGAACTAATAATGGGTTGTCTGTTTGGTGTCTCTGTGAGGCCCTTGTGGTATGGTGCCCTTGTGGGACAGCTGAAGGAACTGGTAGCTTAGAAAGCTTAGGTGAATTGCCCTAAGGTTATCCAGAGTGAAGCCATGGAAACAGGACCTGAACTTAGTCTGAGAAGCCAAGACTGATCTTGTGCCAAATCTCAAAAATGTCATGCCAAAGTGATGTTCATAAGGTAGACATGCTTCCAGTTGCATTTGACCTACCTCTGTGGAAGGAGATGGCAGTTTTATGACCCAGGAAAGAGAGAAAAGGCACAGTGCCCAACTTTACAGGTTAGCACTTTTACAGTCATATTTTTCCAGCCTCTGATCAATAGTGAGACTTAGTGAAATTACTTATAATGAGTTCTTTAATTTATGCCACCAAATCTTCATAGAATATTGTATTTGGCAGTTGGGCAGATAATTAAGTAGTTAATGAAACCACAAAATACAATGGTAGTGAAAGCACATGTTGGAGCAGAATCAATGTGAAATAACTGATAATTAGATAATGACTCTTTGACAATATGTAATTGTATAATAGTGGAGGGAGGTTTAATTCTTTATGGGAAAAAAAAGGCACTGCCACATATTTCACTTAACCAGTGTTCATGAGCTTGTCACAGAAGGTGGCATTGTTAAGAAATCAGCAGGTCCTCTTTCCAGGTAGGTATGGGCCTGGTTTAGATCTAGGGACGCAGAGGCTGCCTGCCATCTGGTAGACCTTCTCAGAGAGAGTATGGTGGGGGAATCTAGAAGGAGAGCCAGGAATTCCCAACTGGGGGACGTGGCTGACTCCAGCAGCTAGTCAACCTCCAGGGAGCTGGCAGCTTGTGCAGCTGCTTTTCCAAAAGAGCAAGTTCCCCCAGAGCTCTGCTGAATAGGTTCCCCCCGACCCCTGGGGACTGTAGATGAGTCGGGCTGATCCCATGGACTTGCTGTCTCTTACTGGCAAGGAGTTAGCAGTGGTCTGACATAGGATCCTTACTTCAGACACAGTCATGGTATTCCTGCCTTCAGCTCCAAATGTGGCTATAATACGAAGTGCTTTTTTTTTTTCCTCTTTCTGGTCCTGGGGCTTGAACTAAGGGCTTGGGTGTTGTCCCTGAGCCTCTTTGTATTCAAGGCTCAAGGCTTGCACTCTCACCACTTGAGCCACAGCAGTAGTTTATTGGAAGTAAGAGTCCCACAGACTTTTCTGCCTGGGCTGGCTTTGAACTGTGATCTTCAGATCTCAGCTTCCTGGGTAACTAGGATTACAGGTGTGAGCCACCAGTGCCCAGCCTGCTTATGGAGCTTTATAGACTAGATTGTGGCCAAGGTTTCAGTGAGCTCCAGACCAGCACAGATAGACTTTTTTATCACAAAGGAAAGTAGCTCCCTCTTAGGCTAGGAGCCAGGCAAGAAGGCAAAATGCCTGTGCCCTGACTCAAAGGGAGTGGCTTTTATTTAGCTCCTGCTGGTTACTGCATGAAAAAGTGTATGTGACAGACTGGGAATGTGGCTCAGTGGCAGAGCGCTTGCCTAGCGTGCATGAAGCCCTGGGTTCAATTCCTCAGCACCACATAAGCAAAAAGCCAGAAGTGGCACTGTGGCTCAAATGGTAGAGTCCTAGCCTTGAGCAAAAGCAGCTCAGGGACAGTGCCTAGGCCCTGAGTTCAAGCCCCAGGACTGGAAAAAAAAAGAAAAAAAAAAAAGAAAAGTGACATGTGGCTCGATCTTCTGATTGTTTTGAGAGAAGCCAGAAATCCAGATTTATGATACGTGTAACTTAATTGTAAATCCTAGCAGTTAATCAGTATTTTATTTATTGGGAGGGGGTTGGGAACCCTGCATGGTAAACCAATGTGTTCTGTCCTCTTCTGTGACTGGCTGGTAGAGCTGTCCTATTTGCTGCCTTCTTCACCTTTCCCAGCTCTCGCTTTACCTCTGAGGCTTTTCTAGCCATAGGTCTTGTTTGCATTTTTCTTCTATTTCTGGCTGATGTCATCCACTCTTATGACTTCAGTTACTATTCATCTAAATATTCATCCTGTCCAAATCCAGTCCTATCCTGAACTTCTACCATCTACATACCTGGCCACTAGTGGACATTTCCCCCAGACCATGGGTATGTCTTAACTTCTGTCTGTGCCTCCATCTTCATGCAGGTGGCTGTTCAGATTAGAAATTTGCTCTTGCCCAGCACCATTGTCTCCCACCTGTAATTGTAGCTACTCAGGAAGCTGAGATCTGAAGATCATAGTTCAAATCCAGCCCTGGCAGGGAAATCATTGAGACTCTTTATCTCCAACTAACCTCTCCAAAAAGCCAGAAATGGAGCTATAGTTCAAGTAGTATAGTGCTAACCTTGAGCAAAAAGCTCAGGGACGGTGCCCAGATCCTAAGTTGGAGCCTCAGAACCAGTACAAAAATAAATAAATAAAAATCTTTGCTCTTCCTTTTCACTAAAGAAAACCTGTCCTAATCCTACCAGCTTCCTCCTCCTGAGAACTTCAGCAACTGCAGCCCCACTGACATGGCCTTCCTTACTGAATGTTCCTCAAGGCCACCTGGGCTACAAGAATAGCCTTGGCTTCTGAAGAGCTTCAGAGGAAGGCAGCAGATTCTCCAAGTCTTGGGGGAAGACTAGATGAAGAAACCTGCTTTGAGGAAGCTTTCAGAAGAAAGAGTAAGGTGGAAAATGAGCAGGACGGACACAAGTGGAGTAAGATCAAACACAATGAAACCCCCATGGAACAGGCCCACCCTTTTCCCCCTGCAATGACCATTTTACAAAAGTAATGCATTTCCAATATAAAAATATATTGAAGCCGGGTGCCAGTGGCTCACACCTGTAATCCTAACTACTAAGGAGGTTGAGATCCGAGGATCACAGTTCAAAGCCAGCCGGGGCAGAAAAGTCTGTGAGACTCTTATCCCCAATAAACTACTAGAAAACCAGAAGTGGCACTGTGGCTCAAACGGTAGAGCACTCACCTTGAGCTGAAGAGCACAGGGATAGCGCCCAAGCCCAGAGTTCAAGCCCCATGACCGATTTAAAAAAACAAAATTGCCAGCAAACACACTGTTGAAAGTCAAATGGTATTGCTGTTTGGGTGGTTTAGCAGCCCTGTTTCTTTCCACATACCTATTGTGAGCATTGCTTCACTCACTCAGCTGGTCCTAGTTGGGACTAGATTTTCTAAAATGGTTTTTATTATTGTGCATAACACTTAAGTGGATATCTTTGTATTAAGAAACTATGCATTTAGGGTAAGTTTGCATGAGTTCCTAAGGCAGAG